AGGGATTTGTAAATCTGTTCTAGAAAAAAGATCTATTTTTATATTTGTGGAGTGGTGTCCCGGCAAGTGTTTTTTTATGGGCTAAGTTGTCTTGGCTGGAAAAAGTTGAGAACCACTGACGCTAGACGCGCTTAAACAGAACATTTTTTACTCGTTTTCTTTCCTTATATTACTTACAGTGAAGATTTGCTTGGCCTCCGCACGTTTAGATCAGCGTTTTCCAAGATGTGATGGGGGTGCAGAGAGCTGCAGGGAGTGACAGCTGGTCTGAGAAAAAACTACGAGAAACCAGTGAAATCCTGTAGCTAGTTAACTCAGCTTATATATTTATGCGAGTGCCAACTGTGATTCGGCGCCACTCGATGACGTAGCTGAGCTGAAATTAGTGGCTCTGGAGCAGCTTTACTCGACAATTGGAGAGAACGGCCAGCGTCTGGCAGAAATAACGGAGGAATGTATGACCACGATATTTGAAGCTAGGATTCATGGACCGGTCCTGGCCAGGGTGGGGACGGACTGGCCACTGTGTGTCTGGATAATCACAGAAGGGCCGTCGTCACGCGGGCGTGACAGCGCCGGCTCGTTGCTGACAGCCGCACCCCTTCCATTTTTATTCATAAAGCAAGTACGGTTTAAAGCTGCAGCCAAGATGATGAGCTGCGTTAGTCTTCCGATTCATCATCTCCTGTGCGTACACAGACGCAGACTCCATGTTCCCACTAATAGTAGGCTGGAGTGTAATAAGGCAGCAAAGTTGACGTTCAGTGTGTGCGGAGCATATAAGGATTCATCCAGCATGTGAAAATGTAAAAAAAAAGTTTAAAAGATTAAAAGGTTACACAAAACTTATTGTTGGATGTTTTAAGGGAGGTGACACTACTCAGAATCGGCTGCAGTCAGTGAGTCAATATGACACACAGCACACCGCAGCACACACACACTACACACAGCACACAACGACACACACACACACACACACACACACCACACACCACCACAGGACACAGACCACAGAGGACAGGAGAGAGGCAAAAAGAGAAAACAGCAGTCTATTTCAAATGGTCTGTGCTCAATAAAAGACGAAAGCTAGACAGCGGAAACAGAGCGTGATGCTCTCGTTACTGGACCTCTTTGAAATGCAATTGAATTCGCTGCATTTATGAGGCACACAACAAGCTAATAGCAATGAAAATTGGGGAGGTGGGGGCACGCGTGTGTTATGTTCTCTGAGGGTGGAGTCTTCCAGTCGGTGTGCTACTCATCGAGTTGGGGGGTAAACCTCCTGCTTATTGTGAATCATTATTTGATGGTGTGGTCTTTGTGTGTTGTTTTTGTCTTCTCTATACTAAAATATTGAGTTTTAATACTTTTACACATTGCAACAAAGAGTTTAATTAGGATGTTCTTTTGGTCTGTTTTTTACGTTAATAGTCTAATATACAATATATGCAATTATTTCTTTATTTATAATATTATGTATGTGTGTTCTTTTTTTCTTGATATTAGTGCTTGTTATTATTTAACTTATATTGATTCTTTCTTCTCTTTCTCCTCTCTCGTTTTTTGTGTGTTCTTGGTGTTTTTTTGTTTCGTGGTTTGTTTTTTGTTTTGTTTTTTGAGAGTAGATTATGGTTATTATAATGTTCGCTTTTATCATATCTGATTAATGTATTATATAGATATCACTATCTTTCTATTGTTCGCTATTTGTTTATTATGTTAATAGACTTCTTTTCTTGTGCTATGTTTTGTTTATAATTGTTTTTATTTTGTTTGAGTTCATATATCATCCTTATTTATTTATTTTTATCTTTCTCATATGCATGGTGTTTCAATTTATGGTGTGAAGTGGAGGCCGTGCGTCGCTTCAGTAGATCTATATATAGTCTTCGTCCCATCAAGAGAAACATAACCGATTCGTGCTTCTACTTTATTATTATTGCTATTATTGTTGTCGCTATATTGCATGCGGAATTCAAGATTGCCATTTCATAGAGTCCAGTAAGAGAGTGCATTGCTCTGTTTTACGCTGTTTCTACGCTTGCTCTTTTTTGAGCAACACCATTTTGAAATGACTGACTGTTTCTCTCCGCTTTGCCTCTCTCTGTCTCTGTGTCTGTGTTGTGTGTGTGTGCTGGTGTGTGTGTGTGTGTGTGTGTGTTGTGTGTGTGTGGTGTGTGTCGTGCTGTGTGTGTGTGTGTGTGTCATATATTGACTCACTGACTGCACGATCTGAGTAGTGTCAGCCTCCTTAAAACATTCAACATAAGTTTTAAACACTTTTTATCTTTAAACTTTTTTTTTTTACATTTTCAACATGGCTGGATGAATCCTTATATGCTGTCCCGGCAGACACACTGACGTTCAACTTTGCCTCCCTTATTACAACTCAGCCGCCTACTTTAGTGGAACAATGAGTCTGCGTCTGTGATACGCGAACAGGAGGATGATGGCAAATGGAGGACTAAATCGCAGATCATCCTCTGGCTGCAGCTTTGACCCGTACTTGCTTTTGAATAAAAATGAAGGGGGTGGCCGGCTGTCAGCAAACCGAGCCGGCTGTCAACGGCCCGCTGACGACCGGCCGTTCTGTGATTCTCCAGAACACACAGATGGCCAATCCGCCCCTGCCAGGACCGGTCCATGAAAATCCTAGCTTCAAATAATCGTGGTCATACTTCCTCCGTTTTCTGCCAGACGCTGGCCGTTTCTCAATGTCGAGTAAAGCTGCTCCAGAGCCACTATTTCAAGCATGCTACGTCATCGAGTGGCGCCGAATCACGTTGGCACTCGCATAAATATAGCTGAAGTTAACTAGCTAGATTTCACTGTTTCTCGTTAGTTTTTTCTCACGCTGTCCTCCCCTGCAGCTCTCTGGCGCCCCCCCCCTCACACTTTGAAAACCGCTGATCTAAACCGTCGGAGGCCAAGCAAATCTTCAACTGTAAGTAATATAAAGGAAAGAAAACGAGTAAAAAATGTCTGTTTAAGGCGTCTAGGTCAGTGTTTCTCAAACCTTTTCATGCCAAAGACAACTTAGCCAATAAAAAAAACACTTGCG